TTTAAATGTAAGCAATGAGTGACAGACCCTTCAAATGCACACAACTTGCCATACATTAGACGTAAACAAACCACAGAGACATCTGACATGACATCAAGTACTCGCTGTATATCGCAAACGAAACACATATTCTCTACAGAATATTCTATCACATCCTATCCATCGAAGCATTTCATACGGTAACAGTTATCTGTAAAATGATGTGGCTTATTTTTACTACACTCATTTTAATTAACAATTTATTGATAATGTATATTCATAGAGTAAAAACTTTGCCATTACGTGAAAGTGACAAATATCACAAATATTGGGAGATTTCTGAAACTTGGACACTTTTTTAAAACAATTTAAATAATAATTTTTAAATTTGTTTTTCATTAATAAGTATATTTAAATGTACATTTTAAGTTATAATTTACAACAGATATTACTCGTTATTCTTATAATTAATTTGTAAAGAATAAAACAAAAATTGAATTTAATGTTAACTCTAAATCTAGATGTAGGATTTAAATATTACTGTATTCATTTATCTAAATAATATTTTAATATAAATTTCTATTTAATAATTAACTTTATCAAATTAACCATTGGTAACTCAATCCCGTAATCATACTGACACAGTATATGCTAGATCAATTAGTATCAAGTTCTTAAAAGTTTACTAATAAATTGAATTTGAAAATTGCTATTGATTTATAAGCACATAAGAAATTTGTTAGATTTATATTTTAAAGTTGGAAAGACTATTCATTCAATTTTACGTCGATATCTAATATAATAAGAATTTTCAATATAGTATCACAGAAAAGTAGTACAGTATTAATATCATAGATAGATAGTAAAATTATTATCACGAATACAGTATATAGAAAGTGTACAATACGTTCAGTGGTCTAATGTGTTGAATGCATACAATTCTTCATTTATTCTGCTTTTGATAAATGAATTTTGTTTAAAATAATGTAAAATAGCACTAATATAATACATTACTATAGTATTAAACATTAATCATCATTAAATATACTCGGATACATTTATCAGTTTTAATATTCTTTGCGATATAAAGCAAGTGTTGGGAGAGAGAGAGAGGGAGAGAGAGAGAGCTATAGTGGATGTGATGGTAATGTAGAGAAAACCCCTTTAAATGCGATATTTATTTGGTTTACAATAGACTTGTAATGAAGTGAACGATAAGCCCATCGATTGATACAAATAATTGTGGTTTTAATGAACAAAACCAAACATTGAGTCAATTGTATCGCAATTGCCATCAAAAGAGACATCAATTGTCACTGAGTTTGCCATCAATTGAGTGAATGTCGAGATAATCGCAACATTTCTTGTATTTATTGTTGGATTCAAAGGCAATCATATATTTATCACTAATTATTTCTAAGATTATCGCAAAGCATGTCATCTCAAGAGGCAACTGATCCTATTGTAAGTGTTTGTCATACCATTGAACACACATCTCATGATCTATTCAATCAATTGGTGACAGAATGTGACGAATATGTCGACCAAAGAGGAGAAGGAAGAGGAGGAGAAGCTGAGGGCGAAGTACCCACACGTCCAGAGACCCGGCCCTCAGTTTCTTCAGAAGCGACTTCAAAAGGGGGTCCGAATTGATGAGATCTTCGTGTCATTTGTGACATCAATTAACGAGTGTTTTATTTGTTGTCTTCACAGCAAAAGTTCTTTGATTCCGGCGATTATAATATGGCGAAAGCGGCCGCAAAGACATCGAAACGCTTGCCTGAGTCCAAGCTGTCGGCCGTTCACATCCCGGAGCCATCCATACCGACTCCCATACCCACGGGTGACACCATCCCTACGCCCGACTGCTTGGCCAACAGGAAGACGTCGATCCACGTGCAGAGCAAACTGGTGTCCGGCGCCCCATAACAGCCACACTCGTGGGTCGCCCTTCCGGTCACGGATTGGACGCCAAAGTCATTACCGAAACTTGAATTTTATTTTCACCTCTTTTTGTACAGTTTTACGGCTCAACTGTTTTATGTTTCGATGTTTTTTAACGCGATTCTTAAGTTTTATTCAGTTTTATTTCATTGAAAACTCACTTTTATATTAAGTTTTTTCTGTTGAAAAATACTTATCAATATTGAAAATCAAGTTTTATTTCCGCAAACGAAAAGTCACTTTTATTTATAGTTTTTATTTCAAGTGTTTTTGTTATGTTAAACGTTAATTGAAATAATAATAATAAATGAAAGCCCTTTGGTGTGTAGTATTTGATTGCAAATACAGCTAATAATCACTCGTTGTTAAGCATGTTTTACAAAACAAACACCCATTTTATGTCCAAAATATTTAGCCATTGATTTCACATTTAACCGAAAATATGTTGTAAAACATAAACACAACTAAATGAATGCTATATACAGTATATTAATATGTATTGAAGTGATTGTGAGTAATGGACATAAGTTTAGACACAATTTAGTATATATTTGTGTAAATATTTTCCAATTGACTGTAAATTCCTTTGAATTGATGAATGAATTTGTGTCATTTGATCGCCGAATGTCTTTATACCGAATATACAGTACTTATCAATAAAATAGTGAACCAAACGATTCAGTACTCAGTTATTCATTGCATTCAAAAATGTCTATTTATTTAACAATTAATTTTACATTAATTAAAGTACAATAAGTTAATGTTTGCGATAATGAGTACATATTTATGGCCAAAGTTTTAGTTTTGTGTCTCATTTGTATCCATGGATTCATTGGCAGACTTTCGCACATTCTTTGGCTTTAATTTATGTCTATTTTGTTTCGTTTTGTTTGTATTTCTATAGAATTTTGCATTTTTATCGACCGATTCGTTGCAAACATTAATGTCTTTGTATTGAACTCCCGGTGCTGTCACATCCAACGGGTCTTTACTCAAGAGTATATCAATTCGTGGTATTTTGCGGACAACTTTCAGCACATCGAGACCCTTGTCTTCAATGGGTTTCCACACTTCCTCCACAGTCTTGTAACCAATTTTGGTCATCTGATACAACGGTGTCCTCATCTTGTGGTCAACCTTTCGCTTAAGAAGTTCAGCACAAGTGATGGCTTTATTACAGGACCTGTCGGTGGCTGTCATGACAATCTGCCGGTTCGTCTCGTTGTCCACGAAATGTTTGACCGAATAGTTGACGATATTATTGACATTTGTGCCCAAATGGACCCTCATTTGCAACACATCCGCACCACATTTAGGACCAAATGGCAGACAATTGTCGTCCACTTCTACCACACAATCCTTTCTATAGCTTTCCATTCAATTGACACTCAATTGAAACAAACAATTCATTCAATTGTTAACAATTGGCAACAAAACACACTTTGCCTTCAGTTTGGCATTCATTCGTTAATAACGTTATTCTCAATGCCTTTTTGGCCCCTATTTTCATAGAAATGGCAATTCTTTCACGAATTAATTGTTTACAGAATCTATCGTTTAAATTAAAAAAATTTAATTGTAGTGATATTTTAACAATTTTAACTGTACAATTAGTAAATTGACACAGTTATCTACACATCTATGATACATACACATTAATCTAGTGTTATATTGTGTAGATAAATAAGTCAAAGTAGTCATTTACGGTAAAAAGCAAACATAATTTTTAGATTCTAATTCCTTGTATTTAAAATTGATCCATGTTCATTTGAATATTATTTTATTAAGAATTCAAAATTGCATATGTTCTTAGTTTTAGTATAACAATTAACTAATGTTCACAATTTAAAATCATAGTGAAATCATCTGCATATCATAGTTTATTCTGGACATCAATACGTATAATTATTAAGGTAAGAATTTACACTGTTAAATACTCATTACTGTTAAATCACAGTAAATTTTATTTATTCAAATATTTAAAAATTTCAATTACCGGTATAAAAAGTTTTTTTGCGAATTATTAATTTGGCAGTAATTTTGGACTAATCAACAAATTATAATTGACTTAAATAACATAAAAATTATATTTACATTCCATTAGAAATATATTTGTATAAAAGTATTAAATAGTTTCGTGTCGTATAAAACTTTGAGATTATAAAAGTGATGTGAATGAATGCAATTTGTTTGGAAATATAATAATAAATAATTTGTTAAATGATTTCAAAGTGATTAATGAATGGTTTATGTTGTCTGAGATCCGGACTATCTGGAAGGAAAGCCGGGTTATTGAATGAGATCGACTGGAACGGTAGGTTTGGATAAGTTTTATTGAAAAGTTGGCAGTTTTGTTGATTACATCGATTCCAGCCATCGGCTGACGGATCGCTAATAATAGAGATGTGATTCGTCTCATCGTCTGAAAGACTTTGAAGATTAGGACTAAAAGAGTTGTGGATTGTATGCGGACTCTGATTGGCAATGAATGCCGTGAATCCGAGCGCTTCTAATCTGTTGAGTCGATTCATTTCCAGCAAACATAACATTATTATTGATATATTGATGACAAGAGCAGTGACTTCCAGCCAAAAGGCCCACCCATTGGTTATGTGATAATTCTCTGCAGCAGATGTCTTGAATATGAACTGTTCCCTTGATATGGATTTCTGAAGTGTTGTCAACAGTAGAGTTAACGTGGATGCAAATGCTGGCAAAGAATTAAAAGATTAGTAAAATTGGAGATAAATATATTGTTTATCAAATGATTACTTGAAAATAAAATTAACAAAAGCTTAAGTTTGTTGAGTGTTTTGGTTTGAACCAAAAAGTTTGGTTTATTTCGTCTGTTTTGCTGTAATCTGATCACAAGGAATGGCAGGAATAGTGCGAAAAGGAGTGTCTGAAGGGATGCGACAACGCCTGCGACCACCATATGATGGGGAGGTCTGAAGAATGTGTCCAAAGGGTCGCAGTCATCGCGATATACCGGGGCTTTGATGGAACAGATACCCCACAGACCGTAGTGTCCCTTCTCTTGTGGTAATCCTATTAACAAAAGTCAATGTTAGCACAAAGTGCACAAACTTTTATGCAAATAAATACCCTGATCAGTTTTAGCTTCGAAATAACCCCAATAATCAGCAAATAAGGCAATCAATTGGAATACAAAACTTATGAACCATAGGATCACTTGACTTAAGGGACAGATGAAGATTAGATTCATCCTCACCACAAGTTAATCACTTTAATTGATTGTCATTTTTATCACATTTATGTGTCAAATGAGTGAATAAAATGAGAAAATCAATGATAAAAAGTAAACAAATGTCATGTATTTAATCCATAGCTCCCAATAGCCTCCCATCGCCAGCACTGCCCTTACGTTGACAACACTTGCGTTGGTATCCATCAGAAAAGAGGAGTTGTTTTTCTTGATAACCTGTATTTACCTGTTTTGTTGCGATGCGAACGGCCGGTGCTCTAACACATACCCAAACCCACCTGTGCTTTAATGCCAAACCTATAAACAACTGCTCCTTCACTAACATTTGTCAGAGAATTCAATTTCCGGACAAAAATTGTCCACAAGTTTGATGCAAAAACTTGTGACAAACCCTCACTTTTCATTAATTCATATTCTGTATAATTAATTCTCATTATTACTAATTAGTAAAATATGCACACAATTTGAATCATTTAATAATTGATACAAACGGAAACGCTTTGCTTTAGTTGTACCTGTATTATATTTATTGAATTAATACATTTAATTGGTCATTGTCTATTTATTCTAACTGCTCCTGAATGCAGTAAATATGTACAGAATTTCATTGTTCATTGTAGACAGATTATTCATTAAAACAATATATCATAGCTAAGTAAATATTATTGCAAAATTATCGGCAATTTTACAATTTATCGCTTTTTAAAGCAAATATTTTTAACAAATGTCACTAATTATTTATGATATAGAATAAAACAAGTCAATAAAATTATTACTTATTATAATGTCACATTTACTTTTAGTAAATAACAAGTCAGTTTGATTAATTATTTATTTCGCTTTAAAAATTATAGAACTTATACAGTATTCAACAATTTTTATAATTAATAAGTAGGCAATTAATAATACTTTTAAAACAATAGATTTAAATATCTTATAACTTATATTATATATAATTTAAATATTCATTGAAACAATTCGTGAGAGTTTAATAGAGGCATAGATTGTGTGGGTAGAGTGAGAAGTAAACTTTTGGCCTGGATGAGTTTTACTTTTCTCACGGCTGCCCTTTCCTTTGACTTATTATATCTTACATTAAAAATAAAAATTAAAGGAAATAAAATAACTTTAAGTACTGGTACTTCATTTTATATGTAATAATATTCTTTCAAGTATTGTGTAAACGAGATCAAAGTTTTAAGAGTTTCAAGAATATTATTAAGTAAATTATTTCATAGTGTTATGA